TTATCTGACAACAAAAGCGCACTCGGCACAGTGCAGCTCTTCCCACCCATCGGCTCATCGGCTCACAGTGTCCAGCCCGCAGCCCCTGGCCAGCCCCCCGCCCCCGCCCGGGGTGCCCAGCCCCCAGGCCCACAGCTCTGGGCCTGTTTCCTCTCCTGTCCTCTTCCCTCACTTTCCTTCTTTCTCTCCCTGCAAGTGAGCCTCACCCCTCCCCAAATGGGAATTAGAGCAGCTAATACCAACAAATTAGGCTGGAAAATTAAAGAAACCCACAGAGCCTGGCCAGTGGCTCAGGGTTGAACATCGACACAGTTCGATTCCCAGTCAGGGCACAGGCCCGGGTCGCGGGCTCCATTCCCAGTGGGAGGTGGGCAGGAGGCAGCCGATCAGTGATTCTTTCTCATCATGGATGTTTCTCTCTCTCTCCCTCTTCTTCCTCTCTGAAATCAATAAAAATATATTAAAAAAACAAACACAAAGAAAAACACTCACCAAGTGTTTCTCCGTTTGTAAATAGCGGCACGCCTGCCCCACAGTTAACCCGCAGGAACAAGCCAATGTGACATGATCTACGTGGCGGTTGAATTGTTACCGTTTCTGCCTTTGGGGGCAATTTTAGTTGGTCTTTATGTCCCTTTGACACAACCTCATCCTTTTGTCTTTTGATAAAAGACATGTTTGTTAAAAGACGACACATCTATAGGGCGTGTTGTGTTGTGAGCTCTGTGTCCCAGCCCCAGGACCAGCGACTCCTCCGGCCCCCTGGTCCCTTTCGTGGGAGAAGGGAGTTAGAGACCATGGCCTGGGCCGCGTGCGTGCTCATGGCCGCCGGGCAGCTGTGTCCCGCACCCTCCCCACAGACAGCTGGACGTGTACTACCCCGTGGGCATGCACACACACCTGTCATTGTTTCTACATCTGCCCTTGGCCTCTTCATGTACATCTTAGGGGTGTGTTCACTGAACTGTAAGAACTGGAACTAAAATGGTTACTCCCCAGGGATGCAAAGCAATGCATCTTATTTTTATAAGACATTTCTTATTTTTTTTCTTTTTTAAATGTATTTGTATTGATTTCAGAGAGGAAGGGAGAGGGAGAAACATCAGTGATGAGAGAGAATCATGGATTGGCTGCCTCCTGCACGCCCCCCACTGGGAATCGAGCCCACAACCGAGGCATGGGCCCTGCCTGGGAATCGAACCCAGGACCCTTCAGTCCGCAGGCCGACGCTCTGTCCACTGAGCCACACAGCCAGGACAATGTGCTGTTCCTTACGTTTTCCAGGTGGTTCCTGGAAGCCCTGCAGTATTCCAAGTTCTCCACGGCCAACGTCCTCAACGGCCTCCTCATGACGCTGGTCTTCTTCGTGGTGCGGATCCTGCCCATCCCTTCCTTCTACAGCTTCATGCTCTCCGTGGTGGGCACCGAGCCCTACGCCCGGCTGGGGCTGCTGACGCAGTGCTCCTGGGCCGTCTCGTGCGCGGTGCTGGACGTCATGAACGTCATATGGATGGTCAAGATCTCCAGGGGCTGCCTCAAGATCATCGCGCTCATGAGGCACGAGAAAGCCAGCAGCAGCCTTCGGAACGGCAAGCTGGACTGAGCGCGGACAGCGGGGCCCGGCGGGTGCACTCCTGGCATGTTCTCCTGCTTCCGCATCAATTACACATGTTATCCAGGGTTTCAGTCTCCCTCTCCCTCTCTCTCTCTCTCTCTCTCTCTCTCTCTCTCTCTTTAAATTTTTACCTGTAGGAAAGAGAAACTAAAATTTTGTTTTTAATCCCAAGATTTCTTTCTTGATTTTCTTGTGCATCCTAAGCATGGACAGAGCGTGAAGGTTTGAATAAAAGGTGACACACAGGGTGTGGGTCTTTCCAGGGCTCCGAGACCTGCCCCGGCATCTTCCCCGCCAGGCGGTGCGGGCCACCACGCGCCTGCTTTCCCGTCTCGGTCCTGCGGGGGGGAGGGGAGCTGCCTGTGAGTGTGTGTGCGGCTCAGCGTCTGCACCGCGCGCCCTGCCCGCTGCGGCTGCGCGGCCGGTTCCTGAGCGGCCCCTTTCGGAGGCTGTTCCTCGTGCTTCCTTGTAGATGCGACACTGACTCAGGACGGAGCCATCTAGTCCTTTGGGCCGTGGGCGAGTTCAGGCGTGGGAAGTCCCTTCTGCATGTGTAGGCTCCTCGGATGTCACTTTATTTCTATTTTTAGCATTTTATCAAATCACTGCCTTTTCCGTTGCGCAGTGGGTGTAAGGCAGGTCTTACCGAGCTCCTTGAGCGGTGAATGCCTCCTCCCAGAGGCTCGGCCAGGCGCCCCGAAACCCGCGGGAGGCACCCCGAGAAGCAGCTCCTGCCCTGCTGTCTCGGCTTCCCTTGCGTGTCTCTGTGAAAACCAGACTATTTTTATTGGCACAACGAGCCCAGCGTTCAGAGCCCAAGAGCAGCAGAACCGACGCCCGAGGTGACGTGTGTCCCGCGCCAAAGCAGGCCTCATTCTGACGTGACCGACGTGACGAAAAAGTCCATATGCAGCCTCGGCGCGGACGCCACGCTCGCTCGTGAGCATTGGCGGGCCCTGGACGCCCCTCTCCTGAGGGCAGGGGGCCCAGAGGCTCCCTCCCCGCTCCCTCCTGACCAAGCCAGGCGAGGCCTGGCCAGGGCTGGGCCGTGGCTTCCTGCTGTGTTCGTCTCAGGATGAGTTTGCTTTGGTTCTGGCAGCCCAGACACAGAAGGACGATGTCCCCTCTCGTGGCCTTTCTGGGTTCTCCTCCAGGACTTGCCTGTCACGCGTGTTCCTACCTGAGAGCAGCAGAAACTTGACGTCACGGCGGCGAATACTCGCATTTAATTGAACCCAAACCCAAAAAGCTCCAGTCCGTTCCTCCGTCGGCCTCCTTTTCCTGTGTCTGTGGCCGCGGGAGGCGGCTGGAGACGGGGAGACCTGGGGTTGGGCTGGGCTGGGCTGGGCTGGGCTCAAGTGTGAGAACGTTTGGAGAAGGTAATTGAAATCTCAGTCATAACCACAGGATAACATGAGGTGGTCTGGCTTAGTTTTGAAAGATGTAAAGGAAGGTGAGCTCCAGGTTTTTGTCTTTAAAGCTGCTCCTGTGACAGGAATACGTGTCACTAAGTCACAGGCACCAGGCACGGGGGAGCGAAGCAGCGGTTTCTCTTGTTCTTTTTTTGCTCTTTGGCAAGGAAACTGGCTTTGTTTTTTTTTTTTTAAAGGAAAACACTTATATGAGAGAACTATGTTGGAAATGAGTTCCTTTAGAAAGAACTAAAACTTGAAATACATATTTTTGACTCTGAATGTCCCCTGTAGTTTCCGGAAGCAGGTTGTCACCCCGCGGGCGCAGGAAGCACAGTCTCCACCGGCTGAAAACCCCGTTCGCTCCGGGGCAGCGCCAGGGCCGGCGCAGTTAGGACGTAAGAGCTTCGAACTACCGTCTGGGATCCCCTCGCCGCAGCGGTTACTGATGCCGCCTGTGACAGCGCCCGGAGTCACATCCGATGACGGGGATGCTGTGCGTGTCTGCGGGCAGGAGGCCCCGAGGGAGGGGACGCTGCTCCCTGCTCACTGCTCTGCTTCAGGCCTTGCTGTGCGGCGGCCGCCACCCCCGAAGCTATAAAGACAGAGCATGACAGTGACTAAACGGGCGCTTCGTTGCCGAAGTGACGGACTTTCTTGCTAGAATTTTACATATGAAGTATTTTGACAACATGGATTAATTCCAACGATTCTATTGGGCGTTCGATGTTAACTCCTGTTAAATGTTTATAGAAAATAAAAAGCAACTTGGTACACATTGTTAAGCAACTCTCTATTTCTGTAGAACACGATGAGTCGCAGCCTGCTCTTTGAATGTGTGGTCGTCTAGAAAAACGAGAAATTCTTACAAAACGTTGAGAATGAACGAAAATCAACTAAAGGGCATGCGCTGCGTCCGCTCGGCCCGAGGTAGTTCGGCTTCTTGGGGAGAACGTCGTGATGATGAGCGCGAGTTTCTAGAGTTTGCGTTCTTGTGTCTCGAAGCTTCTAAATCAGTTTTGTTTGCATTTGTTCCAAACTCAGCGCGGGGTCGGGTGTCCGTGCCGAACCCTCAGCTCCTGCTTCGAGGGCGCGGGTGGGTTTTGCTTTCCACGGCGGCCCGATGCCGTGCACTGCCTGAGAGCAGTTCTCGCCCACCGCCCCTCAGCTCCATGCTGCCCACCCCGTCCCACGCTCAGAAACAGTCTGCCTGGAGATCTGTGGGGGAGGGTGTTGCACTATTCATGTTTGTTGTTTCCTTTTTTAAGGGAAATAAACACGTCCCAAAAGACACGATTAAAATAAATGTTCAGCCCGGCCAGTGTGGCTCAGTGGTTGAGCATCGACCTAGGAACCAGGAGGTCAGGGTTCGATTCCTGGTCAGCGCACATGCCCGGGTTGAGGGCTCGATCCCCACTGTGGGGCGTGCAGGAAGCAGCTGATCAGTGATTCTCTCATCATTTATGTTTCTCTCCCTCTCCCTTCCTCTTTGATCAATAAAAATATTTTTTTTAAAAAGAAAGCATTGCAGAAGTTTAAACAGCGATCAGACAAACCACCCTGTATGAAGAGGCGGCAGGAGGGCCTGTAGCATTTACTAACGCCTGTTTACAACACGAAGCAAAGCGCATCGTGTTAGGGTTTTATTGGGCCACATCTGTAGCTTCTCTGTCCTTAAACCGGTTTAGCGATCAGAGCGCCCGACCCGGCTGGGGGGAGCCCCTGTGGGCGTTCCCTGGGCGTCTCCCTGGGACCCGGGTGAGCTGGCTGTGGTCGCAGGGGGGGCCCGGCAGCCTCGGGGAGCCCTGCTCTTTCATCTGCCAACTTACTGACGCCCCATTTCTTTTCAAAACACACTTGCCAGCAAACGGCTCACCCGGGGTTTCTCCGAGTACAAGCCCGCGGAGCTGAGCCGGTCCTGTCCGTGCCAGGCCGCAGCCGCCCCTCTCGGTGCCGGGACATGTTGTGGATCGCGGTGGAGAACAGGGCAGCTTTCACACCAGGCTCCGAGTTCAAGGCCAAACCCAACGAGGGGTGTTTCTGACTCAGAGACGCAGCTCCAGGACCTCTGGCTGCAGCTTGTCTCTCTCCTGCCTGTTCATCTTTCTATATTTATGTGATTCCTTCTGCGTGTGGAGGGATTGGCTGTGTCATGGTTAATGGGGCCCAGGAACAGGCACAGGATGTGCCGTTTTCATTCCTCGCTCAGTTGGCTTCTCGTTGAGGATGAGATGAAGTTTTTGGGCAATAATTAGCACTTGTCATGACTGTAGATGTAGATGTCATCTGAAAAAGCTACTTGAAAACCGCAGTCAGCGCAGTAGCCAGGGCGAGCGACACAGAATGTGCGTCGTTAATATTTAATGATCAGAAAGCGTTTGGGAGTCTTTCAAAATAAATCTAGCATTTGAGACCACGTCTTCTCGATCCCAGCAGAACCTGTGCTTTCTTTCCGAACCGGTGAGCTGGTGTTGACAGGCCAGCGTCACTCAGCTGGGTCAGCGCTGACCGCGCTGCAGCGTCTCTGTTCTGGGCCCCCGGTGCTCGCCGCGGAGGGATTGGCGAGGTCTCTGGGCCCCTCGGTGTCTGAAACGCTCGTGGTCTTTACTGGGACGGGGGCCGCGTGAAAGCGCCCGGGAGCTCCCAGCAGGAATCTGCACGTTACACGGAGGGCACGACTCTGCCTGGGAATTTCACTTAATGTTCTCATGAAGGACATACCCGCCCCCCGCCCCACGAAAGCCGTGGGTTTCCTGTGTTAGGGCGCGGACATGGTGCAAAGCTTTGTATTTTGTGGGAGAAAAGTCAGTGCAAAAGTCTGAGTCTGCAGACTGCACATCTTAATAGCATTTAATAAACAGACGATGGTAAAAGTGACTTTACTCCAATCAAGGTAATGTCCTAGTCCCTGATCCCAAAGTCAGTGTTTACCCTTCAAGGCCCTTTAGAGCTTGTCAGCCCCCTGCCCTCCCCTCCCCTCCCCCTTTCCTCCCCCCTGCCCTGCCCTCCCCTCCCCCTTTCCTCCCCCCTGCCTTCCCCTCCCCTCCCCCTTTCCTCCCCCCTGCCCTGCCCTCCCCCTTTTCCTCCCCTCAGCCCAGCCTGGCTCCGCACCGGCCTCGTTTCAGCCCTCCATCGGGAGGAATGGTGCTCTCTAGTCACAGGCCTGGCGGATTAAGTAAAACCTTGGCAGCCCCATCTTTCGTCTCCTCCTGGACCTCACGTGGTCCCGGGTGCTGTCTGCCAGGCTTGGCCGAGGCTCCTGGCTTCTCAGGTGGCCTGGTCCTCGCCCGGCCGGCCTGTCCCAGAACGTCCAGTGATGAGAGCACCAGCGATCGAAGCAGAATGGGAAGTGGCTTGCCCTTTGGAGAGCAGGGAGCCTGAGTCACGCGGAGACCGCGCCGGGGACACGGTAAGGCCGCCCGAGGCCTGGCAAGGAGAGGCCGAGTCTCAATTAAAATAGCAGCCCAGCCGCGGGGAGCGGGCACAGGTGAACCGACCAGGGACCCTGCTGTCTCCCCGATGCCTCACCTTCAGCCCACCCCTGGTCCTCACCAGAGCTCACTGTGGTTCCCTCACTTGCGAGGGGGTCCCTTAAACATGCACAAAGTTGCCCTGGCCAGTGTTGCTCAGTGGATAGAGCACCTGCCCCTGGACTGGAGGGTCCTGGGTTCGGTTCTGGTCAGGGGATAATGCTTCTTTTTTAAAAAAACATGTTTTCATTGATTTCAGAGAGGAAGGGAGAGGGAGAGGGAGAGAGAGACATCAGTGATGAGCGAGAATCATGGATCAGTTGCCTCCTGCATGCCCCACACTGGGATCGAGCCCGCAACCCGGGTCTGTGCCCTGATGGGGAATCGAACGGAGACCCTTGGGTGGGCGGCTGACGCTTTAGCCACGGAGCCACGCCAGCCAGGGCACTTGTGATATCTTAAATGGAAAATGTATTCTTTTGTTTACCCGGCTCCTTAGCAGCTAATTCGAACCCACGTCACTGATTGGAAATAACTCAAAGGCGTTTAGAAATAAAGGATCCCAGGCAGCTCCGCGAGTGAATAAACCTCTTCCCAAGATGAGCACCGCCGGGCTCCCAGGTGCTCCGGTCGCGGAACCCCCACGGGGGCGGGAGCTTCTCCAGGCCTCCGGGGAGTCCCCCCTGCTCTGGACGCAGCCTCTCCCGCACTCAGGGCCCTTCCAGCGGCGGCGGGAACGCGGATTCAGCTTCACAGCCGGCCGCTGCGCTGACCTGTGCGGGTGTGACAGGGTCACCGTGCAGCCGTCTAAACTCCCCCGCTTACCCCTCAAAACGGTTTCTTTAAAAAAACAAACAAACTCTGAAACAACAAAACAAACAAACCCAAAAGGTTTTGCGGGGCAGGTGTGGCTCAGTTGGTTGGGCTCCTGAAAAGCTTGCTGGTTCCACTCCCATCAGGACACGTGCGTGCGTGTGTGTGTGTGGGTGTGTCTGTGCGTGTGTGTGTGTGTGTCTGTCTGTGTGTGTGTGTGTCTGTCTGTGTGTGTGTGTGTGTGTGTGTCTGTGCGTGT